CAAGAAGAACAAGAACAAGAACAAAAAGAAGAACAATAACAAGACCAAGAACAAGAACAAAAAGAGGAAGAAGAAGAAGAAGAAGAAGTAGAAGAATTAATAGCATTTGTATAGGTAGTATCCCCACTAGACAGCCAAGCTCTATACGCATTGCAATCTATATCCTATCATAAATAGAGAGACATGTAATATTAGAGATCTTCATGATTAATTTACATCCACGTCACTTACCTGTGACACATATAAATGTAGGGTCTCAAATGTGGAATTGTTCACTATTTATCAAGTATCATGACGTAAGCAATGTTACCTATCTACGTCAGTGTTTTAGATGTATATTTTGTTCAGCATTATACATGTTCCTCTGTCTTTGCTCAATCCTGTTGATGTCCTGTGTGAAATAATGATGCAATATCACCCTTCGAATTCTTTATTTTCATTTTCTAAATTCCTTGTGCACTCTTTCTCTCAGACGAAGAGTGATGCTATTGGGCATTGTAATTGGGAAGACATTACTTTTCTCCGACATTGATAAGCGTTCAGGGAAAATGTAACATGTCCTTAGATTACGTTAGAGAAAAGTCTGAACCCTATCCGTACGCCCTTGGGTCATTTTGTACCTCCGGGGTTGTATTCTTCACCTTTTAGAATACTTCTAGTACGAAGATCTCTTTGAAACTTTCAGTATTTCTCAAAAAATCATTTTGACAGACTGCTATGCAAAGCGTACGGATTGAGTTAAACAAGAAATATCAAACTGTTGATTCCGCCGTTCTACCCACCTGGTTTTCCCCTCATCTCTTGTTCCAATTCCTCTCTTTGACCTTAACGCACTAATATGACAGACGAGATAGCTGTTTGACATTTCTAAGTCAACGGACGCATCTGAGCAGAATGGCCTTTATGCTCTCAACAAAGAAATCTCTTAGACGCAGGACCTTTGGTTACAGAGAAGTTCATAAAATATTCAGCTGGGCGACAATCCAGTTCCCTTTTGGTTGAGAGTAACCCCAGAGAGAGAAGAGGATCCGCTCTTTTTACTTTTAGTTTTAGTAGAGGTTTTACGGCGCTCGCAACTGCATAAGGTCATATGAGCGCCAGAAGATTAGAGGTGTTACAAGAGAGTAACAAACACAAAAAAGAAGAAGGGGAGATTAGGACGATAGATGTTTGACAGGAAAGAAGAAACAGACCACACCAGAGCACCCGCCAACCACCCACCAGCTCTTTAGTGGGTTGTACTTTTATTCAGCTGGTCAGGTTTCTTGGATTGGGTCCGATTACCGCTGGAAATCGGGCGGACCAGTATTGTTTGTTTTGTTTTAGTAAAGAGTTTTACGGCTCTTGCAACACAATTAGGTCATACAAATGCCGAAGATCTGAGGTGTTACAAGTGAGTAACAAACACAAGAAAGAAGGAGGAGAGGTAAGAACAATAGACTGGTCAAATGTTCATGGATACTACATATAAAGTGAACTCAGCGAAGACAGACGCCAACCTCTTCATAAAATAAAATAATATTAATATTAATAATTTACACTTTTATCACCTTCGTCTACAATGGTGAACATACATTTACATACACAAATACATAATTATAAATACGTAAACACAGAAATGCAGAAATGCATGCACAAACACACACATTTCACAAATACAGAACAGTTTACAACCATGCCACTGTCGGTCGCTACTGTGCAGCGCCCTGTTTTCTGAGCCAGGTTTGTCGTGTCTTGTTCAGGGACACACCCCAGTGACCACCCTGGGATTTCAGAAAGAAATAACCATTTTCTTTTTGCAGCAAAAAAAGTAATGTATTCCAATAATAAGCAAAGTAGGTAAGATAAGTGAAACACTTGTGATATTGACTTTATCTGTTAATTTTCATACGAATAAGAATTCAAAAAGTAGAAGGTTCGCAGAGCTGGTATGGTAAAGTGTGTGTGTGTGTGTGTGTGTGTGTGTGTTTGTCTTTGTGTGTCTGTGTGTGTGTGTGCGTGCGTGTGTGTTTGTGGGTTTGTGTGTGTGTGTGGTTGTGTTTGTGTTTGTGTGTGTGTGTTTGTGTGTGTGTGTGTGTGTGTGTGTCTGTGTGTTTTCATTGTAATTGTAGATACTATACCCCCGCAACAACCCAATTCAGTTACTATAGAAGACGGGCTTCCATGAACCTGCTAACCAAAATTACAAATTGAAGCAAAATTAACACTGCAATAGTTGGCCTCTACGATCTTGTAAACACTGCAGGTGGGATTTTTTTTTTTTAATCTAGGAGTCTGTCCACTAGAATGTTGTGTCTTTGCTGCTTCCTACAAGTTCTCACTTGCGTCGATGAAGACTCAAAAGAAATATCCATACGAATAAAAAAAATGTTATCCCCTTTGCCTCTGCTTTAACTATTTAATAACTATTTAATAACTATTTAATAACTATTTAATAACTATTTAATAACTATTTAATGATTGATTCCCTTCTTATTCCAGATATAATGGAGGTCTAGAATAACAAACAGAGGATCTTGGGACATTGGATTATTACTTAGGGGAAAATGGTTAGGATAACAATGGTAAAAGTAAACTTTATTCCTCCATTCAGAATTCCCTTGACCTGTAGAGCATATTGGGGGTCTCCATTTTCTGTGGAGCCAGATTTGGATTGCCCTAATGTCAGTCGCAAAGACTATTTTAATGAAGAAGAAGAAGAAGAAGAAGAAGAAGAAGAAGAAGAAGAAGAAGAAGAAGA